TATGCTCAAATTATGTAATTTCTTTGATCAAATCAATATAAATTCAGTATAAATTATGGTCAATCATACAAATGGTGCATTTTTGTGATATGGAATTGTGCATTTTCCTATATCCTTATATATAGTTTAGATACATTATTTTTAAGAAAAAATTGTATAAATCTTATTAAAACATGATTTTTTATAGGGTCTAATTATAATAAAATTTTATTATTCGGTAACAATTCAATTTATTTATATCAAAGAATTTTTTTAATTATAAATGTTATATTTGGGGGACGAAGTCCCCCAGCAAATCGCATATTCTAGTTAATCATCACAAAATTTAATAATAACCTTATTTTTAAATTGCGGTCCAGAAATAAAAAATCTATTATTTTATCCTTCATCCCAAATCCATCTAGGTCCTTCCATCCAAAGAGCTTAATAAACGCTAAATTTATCCTTACCAATATATTTAACAAGTTCAAAATTCTCAAAAGGTATCCACTCCAAGTAATCACAAGCTTGAGTAGCATTTAATTGAGTGTAGCGAATTAATTTGTCAATCTCTTTATTTCTTGATGTCCAATATGGTAAGTTTTCTTTCATGGTATTAGTAAAGAAATTCGAGGTTTACCACATTCTGAACAATCTTTCAATTCTTTTGGAGTAAATTTATTTCCTTTTTGATTCTTCCATTTGTTCAAAGTTATCAATTAGTATATAATCACGCATAACACGATCTGTCGATTCTGTAGAAGAAGAGAAGGTTTGATTTTAATCTGAAAATCAATTACTCATTTAAAATTGTTGGAAAGGGAATTAATTATATGGTGTCCATATATTTATCACAATTTATTATAATTCCTTGAATGGCAAATCAATTTGTATTCTAATGATTAAATGACATCATTCTTTGGCTTATAAATTTACTGGTTTCGACTGGGTTGATAAACTCTAATAAAGTCAAAGTCAACCATTTTCTCGTAAAAAAATAATTTAAGAAATTGTTAAATATTACAGAAATCTTAAGCTATTTAAACATGATTATAATGGAAATAAATAAACTAAAAATTTGGAAAGAAATAAAAAAAAAACTCTCGGTGATAATAATATTTACTTTTGATATAATCGACTTCTTTTCTTTTAATGATTTGATTATGATACAAATTATTTTTCTCTTTTTTCTCGATTACAGTACTCAGAGTTTATTTCCGTCAAGATTTAACTAAACTCGATATTTCATAGTTTAATACCTCGTGTTATATTCTAGAATGGGAAAGTTGCATTACAGCAGGTTGTGTCAGAACAAAAAGATTAGATCATTTATTTGGACAATTGCCTCACTAATTACACGTTCTCCCTATAAAAACGAAATGTGTTAAACTTATTTTAAATTCGTGCTCATGTGTAATAAATGTCTAAAAAAGCACCATTTTGTTTTAATTTTTGTTTTTTTGTAATAAGACATAAATCGGATAAAATGGTGCTTTTTTAGACATTTATTACACATGAGCACAAATATAAAACAAATTTAGCACATTTCGTTTTTATAGGGTCTATATGTTAAACAGCACGAATTTTATGATTATGATATTATATAATGTTTCATTATAAAATTTTTAATATACGTATATCACGCACAACCGGATTTATTTGATTTTTTCCTTGATCCAGTGTTTAGTTTCTATAGAAAAGTTTCATATATTTCTAAAGAAGAAAAGGTAAAGTTTGTGCAATTTAAACAAATGTGGTGTTTATATTGGGCCCTCTATTATTCATTGATTTTCAAATGTATTTCATAAATTCGTACATTTGTTAAAATTATCTGATAAATAATAAATAAAAAAGATTTGTCCAAATTAGGTAAATTGATAAATATTAGTAATCTCCATTTTGTAATGACCCGGTCATTATTTAAAGGATTACAAATCATTGTCATTTGATGATTAAGTCACACAAAATGAATTGTGGTATTCGGCAAATGATTTCAATGACAAATGACGAGTCATTTCACTTTTTGAAATGATAAATTATCTAAGTCATTTGAGATTGATGTTGACCAACACTATATATGATTCCGGCCTGCATTATACAAATTTTTTCTTTGGTTTTTTTTTTCGATTAAATCATGTGATAATATGTCAATCAAATGGGTTATTTCCGAATATTAGCTTGCCGCAGAATTATTCGCAGCACAAATTGGTATTTATTTCGTAGGAATTTAAAGAACATATCTACCGGCGATTTCGGCTATTTTTTTCAATTTTGTAGCGTTATAAAAATTTCCGTTTCAAGGAGCCATATAATCTTTTTATAATAGTACATCACTTATCATTTTATCATGGAAATACCGATATAAATTAGCTTTTATAAAAAAATTTATAGCTTAGCTTATTTTTTATTTATTTAAATTTTTATCAACTTGGTAATTATATCATATAAGATTTAAGAATTTATTTTAGACGAATGTAATTTTGATTACTTGCTCAGACAAAGTGAATAATGAAAATTAAGAATTGTAAAAAATACATAACATGCAGTAGCAGAGAGACCAAACAAAAATTTTAATAGTAGAAGTTGAATTTCTATTCTTGAAAGAATTTTATTGATTTCTATAAACAGTCTGATACTTGTCACATATTAATAGAAATCTTATTCGTCAGATAATATTACGGCCCTGCCACAAGGGACTTCCGAAGAAGCGCACTATGCTCCTCCCATAAAAATTACGCATAGCACCATGCCGTACCACAACCAACCGGTCCTATCGCAGGACTGCAGTAGAAACTGGTACCCACGAACTTACTAAAAGTAAGCGTCTATGCTCCAACCCTCGCATAGTACTATACCGCTCCAAGAAAATTCCAACCAGCCCTACTGTGAGACTGCAGCAAAGCTGGTACTCACAGGCTTACAAAGTAAGCACGCTATGCTCCCACCCGTGCATAGCATCATGCTGCTCCAACTTAAAATTCCCAATAAACTTACCTTTGGCCGCTATACCGCTCCTAAGAAAAATAAGAGTCTGAAAAACAAGAAAAAAAAAAAGTGAAAGTTGCAAGCTATTCGTTTGTTATCCAAGCCTGGGAAGCCTGGGACAAGGTTAATGCTGAAATAATTCGTAACTGCTGATTTCACACAAAATTTCTTTCCGATGTAACTGTTGATTTTGAAAAATATTTCAGAGGATATTCGTTATTTCACAAATGCACCTCAAGCCCTTAATCTCCACAGAAAAAAAAGAAAAGACCTAGAAAAAGAAAACCTGAAAAAAAGAGTCCTAAAAAAAATGAGAAGACTGAAAGAAAGAAAGACCTAGGAAAAGAGAAGATCGAAAAAAAAGAGAAGAGCTAAAAAGAAAAACTGAAAAAAAAGAAGACCTAAAGAAAGACCGATAAAAAAAGAGGGGACCTAAAAAGAAAGTCCGAAAAAGAGAGGACCTACTAAGAAGAAAGAAGTCCGAAAAAAAGAGAGGATCTGAGAAGAAAGTCCGAAAAAAGAAGGACCTAAAAAAAAAAATAAATAGTTTTGTAAATAGTTTGTAAAAATAATAAAAAGGAAGTAGAACCTTTATATATATTTTTTTCAATCGGAATGACTCATGACTTATTTGAATGACTCATAATAATCATATACCTTTCAGATTATGAAAAACGAGATCAATCAATGTTATAAGCTCAGATAGTACGTGTAAATCACATGATTACTTTGCTGCAAAAAATTGATGTCATGTACTATAATATTAAGTGCTGTGGAAATTATGAAATTTTTTACAATCTGATGTTGGTCAGGGAAATAAAATTTTATGACTTCTTATTTCCTTTTTATATATTCAATTAAAGAATGGTATCTAACGTGATCTTGACGTTTTAAGGCGGAAATACGTTAAATTAAGTGTGAAATATAATTTTAAGATGACTATTGACACGAAATATCAAAAAAAAAAAAAATACCGATTAATTCAATTAAAAGAAAAGGTTAAGGATACAATAATTGAGTTTGTTCAGATGACGATCCTTAAAGATAATTAATATATTACAAATTTCATTTTAAATTGATAGATTCGTACAAACCGCCAAATCAGATTATATACGAATGTATATAGAGAATAAGTAACTTTGGACCCGGTACTGACTCAGTATAAAAATAAATATAATAATATTTTATATATATACATATATTAAATCATGTTTTTACTATTAGAAGTTTCTCTATTTTTTTATATATTACAAATATATTATATATAAGAACTATTTATTTTATTTTATTTATTTTATGTAATAATAACGATCGAAAAATGGCTTATTTTCGAAGATTGTTCTCCTATATTTCATGTATACTTATTTACTGTATTTAAGAGAAGGATTATCCGGTTCCGGGGAAAAAAAATTTCGAAGTTGTAATAAAATTAAATTTTTATTACAACATAATTTACATCAAATTACAGTAGTGGGACAATCATCATGTTAAGTACAATATTTTTCATCCTTTTACACATGTAGAACGTGGAATTTTTTAGTTAGTGACGCAATTGTCTAAATAAACGATCTAATCTTTTTGTTCTGACACAACTTTCCCATTCTAGAATATAGCACAAGGTATAAAACTATGGAATATTGAGTTACTTAAAAAACGGATTTAGTTAATTTTTGACGGAAATAAACTCCGAGTAAATATAATATTACTGTATCGAGAAAAAAGAGAAAAATAATTTGTATTAAAATCAAAAGAAAAGAAATTAAAGATAAATATTATTATCACTGAAGTCTTGTTTTTCCAAATCTTTAGTTTATGGTCATGTTTAATCCTGTAATATTCGTAATATTTAACAATTTCTTAAATTATTTTTCACGAGAAAAAGTTTGTTAGAGTTTATCAACCCAGTCGAAATCAGTAAATTTATAAGCCCAAAAAATGATTAGAATACAAATTGATTTGCCATTCAAGAATTATAATAAATTTGATAAATATATGGACACCATATAATCCCTTTCCAACAATTTCAATTATTAATTGATTTTCAGATAATCAAATCTTCTCTTCTTCTTATCAACAGGTCGTGTTACGTGTGATTATATAATTGACAAATGGAAGATGATTTATTTTATCAAAAAGGAAATAAATTTACTCCAAAAGAATTGAAAGATTGTCCAGAATGTGGTAAACCTCGAATTTCTTTTGGATGATGCGAATGCGAAACTAATGCCATGAAAGAAAACTTTCCATATTGGACATCAGGAAATAAAGAGATCGACGAATTAATCCGATACACTCAACTAAACGCCACTCAAGTGGATTTAGTAGCGTTTATTCAGCTCTTTTTGTGGAAGTACCTAACAGGATTTAGAATGATGGTGCGATCTGGACCAATGAATGTTGCTTTAAAGCGTCTCGATAATTCACAAAACATTTCAAGTTCATACATTAATCAGATAACTGATTTCAATCTTAAAAGGAGATTCTGATGTACAATTCCTTTAAGCAAATAAGTAGTAATGTCAGTGCAAGTTAACTTCAATTTATTATGCATCACCATTTTTGCATCGTATTCTCCACTCAACCGTCCAAAACTTTCATTATCTATCTATTTTTCGATTCTCTGATGACACGTTAAAATTTTTCTCTGTCTTCTGTCCTCTTCTAAGTTAACATGTTTGTTCCCAACTTTCCTGCGATTGAACTTGATTGTTCTACTTATGGCAATCTTGATGCGAACTGCGCATTAGTTTCATTAAGATTAAGATTTTCCCAATGTTCTTTTGATTGTATTCGATCCTTGATTCAACATTAATTCCTTCGTTATTAGTTGTTTCAACTTTCCTGTATTCTTTTATTACTTCTACTACTTATCGTCTCTATCATAAAATCTTTGTCTATTAAAGGAGGTATCGTAAATGCTTGTTCCGTTGATTTCTGAGGAATTCACGTAGTTTTGTATCCTGGTAGAGATTTCTAAACACCATCAATATCCTTTATATGACCGCTTTTTCTACAGCTGCTTCGTAATTAAATTTTGCTATGTAAACTAATTTCTTATCTATATATGTACGTTTTCAAGGCCATATATGCTCCCATACTTCTATACTGTTCATTACATATATAACATATATCGGTTAATCTTCGTGTTTTATTTTTATTTTTATTATCGCAAATTAATAATACGATAAAAAATTAAATAATAAGTTTTTTTACTTCATAAAAATGAAAATGACTAAATGAAGGTTCATTGAATACTAAGAATTATTTATAGAACATTATTTTTAAAGATTTATATTTCTTAATCACGTGACGGGAGGTGAATCGTCAGGGATTTTATATAGCCTAATAATACATTATACATTAATACTGTATAACAGCAATATATTTAAAATTGCGTGTACAGATCACGTGTAACCTCCAGCTGCACTTTTACTATTTTGTGATTCGTAAGCCAATCCGTCCAAACCAGGAATCGTATACCCCTGTATACCTTCATATACAATAACCGATGGTCCTCAAATAGTATGGAGTATGATCACGCGACCAAGCTTTTTTTTAATTTAATATTAAGTGCTGATGATTTTTTGTTATTATTTGATATGATAACGAATATATTTTTTATTTTAAAATATTGTATTTATTTAACTATATAAATGAATGATTATAACTATAAAATAATCGATTATATAAAAAAAACATGTATATGAATGAAATATTATCTGATTTCACGATAATTAGAATAACATTTCATATTTGATAATTCAGGAAAATACAAAGGTCTGCTTGTATAATACGCTTCGGGATGTACTTCTGGATGAGTTAATCTATTATTCAGTTTGGAAATCATCTTCCATCTCTTTTCCTCCGCAATAGAATTCTCGTCCGAAATCTTTGAAGGATTTGGATCATCACAAATTAAAATAATCCATTCTCCTAATTTTTCATTTAAATAGGATGCAGTTGGACGTTTTTCCGGATCACCATCCCAACATTGTTGCATTAATTCTGCATAAAATTTGGGCGTGTCATCAGGGATTTCAAGTCTTTTACCATCGCAAATATCCCTCGCCAAATTAATATCATGTGCTCTATTATACCAAGGTCTTTTTCCAGTTGCAAGAGTATTCATGACAATACCAAATGAATATATATCAGAAGCAGTATTGTGATTTTCACCACGTAAAACTTCCGGTGCAACATATGGTAAGACCCCATATATTTGACTTCTACTTTCATCATTATTACATGGTCCATATAGTCCAACATCGCTAATACGAGCATCTGTAGATACTTTTTCATCTTCGATAAGTAAATTTCCTCCGTGAAGATTCCCATGGATTTTTCTTTCGGAATGAATTCTTTCAAGACCTCCAGCGATTCCCCATAACATATCAATCATATCTCTCCAGGAAATAATTCCGTTGCAATGGTCAAGATATTGATAAAGATTTCCGTTTTCGTAATACTTCATTACGATCATATAACTTGATGTTGGATCTTTTGTAATACCAAACGTTCCAGCTAATGAAGCAGATTGTAGACATTTGTGATATGCTTTAATCTATTAAGAAAAAAAAATATCTTTATAAAGTTAAAAGAGAATAATTTTAAATTTTCCACCACAATTAGTTATTTAAACACTAATTAGAGATGCAGATTTCTAATTCCGGCCAGAACTAGTAATGAAATGTTGATAATGGGCCCGTTCAATTCTGATCGTTCGGGTTTTTTGATCGAAAATCCATTAACCAATCCTAACATGTGATCAAAATCAAAATTAAGTAAAAGATGATAGTGCTATTTATAAGGATTTTGAAGAGAAATCTACTTTCACGAAACATGCTTTTGGAAAAAAATGCTATGATAAAATCTCAATTTGGAAATATGATGATGATGATGATGATATTGAGACTGAAATTAAAACAATCGAAATGATGATGAATAATTTAAATGATAATATTGAAAAACTGATAAATAAACTCAACGATCGAAAAAATAATAATAAGCTTATTGAACGGTTAACCTTGGTAAAATGGCAAATAAGCAATACCGTAAAGATATAGTAAACTTTTTGGGTTGTTGATCAAGTCACAATTTCATCAGCCAATAATTATCAGATCAAAATTCCGAACGATCAGAATTGAACAGGCCTAATAATTCTGGCTGGCACTAAAAATTTGATCATCATACCTGATTAATGTAAGAACTTGAAATGTTTTGTGAATTATCGAGACGTTTCAAAGCAACATTCATTGGCCCAGCTCGAGTCCATTCTTGTGCCCCATCATCCCAGATCCATCTAGGTCCTTCCATCCAAAGTGCTGAATAAACGCTACTAAATCCACCTTTACCGACGTATTTAACCATTTCGAATTTCTCAAAGGGGATCCATTCCAAGTAATCACAAGCTTGAGTGGCGTTTAGTTGAGTGTATCGGATTAATTCATCAATCTCTTTATTCTTTGATGTCCAATATGGAAAGTTTTCTTTCATGGCATTAGTTTCGCATTCCAAACACCATCCAAAAGAAATTCGAGGTTTACCGCATTCTGGGCAATCTTTAAGTTCTTTTGGAGTAAATTTATTTCCTTGTTGATAAGATATATTTTCCTCCATTTTGTCAAAATTATCTAAAATATTAATAAATAAATTATTGTTATTAATTACATAATCACGTGTAACCCGACCGTGAGAGAAAAAGCGTTGATTTTTAAAATCCGAAAAAATTATGAAGGGAACTATGATGTTTATTATATTTATCAAAATTTATTATAAGCCTTTAAATGGAAAATCAATCAGTATTCTAATGATTAATATGTTATAATTTTTCGGACTTATAAATTTACCGATTTCGACTAGTTTGCTAAATTCTTATAAAAGCCAAGATCAGACTTTTTTTCGTAAAAAATAATTAAAATCATGAAGTATATCAAGACGAAATTATTTAAATATTATAGAAATTTGAAGCTATTTATAACATGGCTATATGGAATAAAACTAAAAGTTTGAAAAAAAAAGACTTCGGACTAACCAAGCTAACAGTTAGATAAGAAAAAATACGCGATATTAATAAAGTATCTACCTTTGGTTTCTTTTATTTTAATTTTATCTGGTCATTTTTCTCCAAATTCTTACGATTAATATTAACTTCTTACGGGAGGACATTCTCCGCTTAACTCGTTTTTAAGTAACCTCAATAGTTTATTGGTTCTCCATAAATTCCTTTTTGTTTTTAGTTATATAACTCGTGGCAAATTTCGATAGGTACAAATTACGTCAATATGGAAGGATTGGGCTATTTATTTGGACAACAGTATTACCAACAAAGGGATTCCACGTTCTATACGGATAAAAAAGGTTGAAAAGGTTGGGGTAAGTGAAAAAAAAAAGGTAATCTAGTGTGATACAAGATTATCATCTTCTGAGAATACAAAATGAATTTTGGAATTCTATTAATACTATTGTAAATTTGGCGAAAATTCTAATAAAAAATTTTTAAGAATAATGATAATATAAACTGTGAAAAAAATTTTCTTTCAGAGATATATTTATGTTAGATTTAATATTCGAAAATAGGGTTGATCTTATTATTACAAAAATAAAATAAAATAAAATAAATAAATAAAACAATGAAATACATAAAAGTATAAAATAAATAGATAAATTAAAATAATGAAATACATAAAAGTAATAAATAAATAAAATAATGAAATACATAAAAGTATTTAATACATTTTGTATTACAAAAAAAAAAATGAAAAAAATCTCGAACCTAATAATGAAAGATAAAAATAACAAAAATTTAAATTTGTAATACTGTATATTATATTATTTCATGTCTCGATATTGAAATCTCTCTTTTATCTTTTTAAATTGCAAGCCACTATAATTCCCTACAAGACAACTTATTTAACAAGGTAAGAAAATTTCTTGATTTTTTACAGTACAATAAAGTATCAAAATTTCAAGGTACGATGTACTTTGTTATCGATCTTCCGATTAAGGAATTCACTTCTTCAGATTATTACGTTGACATAAGCTGCAACATCCAATATAATATATATTAATCTTCTTCCTTTCTCTACTTCGCTTTTCTGTGCTGTGTAGTAGTTGTATAGTATAAGTTCTTGCCCGCTCTACTGCGCTTTCTTTGTCATCTACATTTTAATGTGATTTGATTTTGCGTAACCGAACGTAGTAAGTCTCGAAAATTTTGATCGAAAACATTAAATTTATTTCTGTATACTATAAAATTCATTTTTTATATAAATAGAGAGTTCAAAGACGAAGATTACTAAAAGTAGAATTAATTGACCTTAATTTGTAAATGAATGAAAGAATGAAAGTAAATTCGAGTCAATTTTTACTTATTGTTCGACACTTTTATAAATATTATTGTTTCCTTTTTTCTCGAAACTTATATGTACAAATTAAAATTTTCATTTACACAAATAAAATGGAAAAAGGGATATGTTATCATCAAACGAAATGGTACTAGCGATTATGAGTGAAAACATTCAAAACTATTAGGCCATGAACATGTGATAAAGTCATTACCACATGACTAAGCTAAAAAACTTATTTCGAAACAGGTTTGCGTGTGATTAGCAAAATGATATTAGTAATGGTTTTAACCTTGTTGTATTTAAATGGAAAATAAGGACTTTGTTCAATTTACACAATCGGAGTTAAAAGTTGCTATGTATATGTAATATTCGATAAGGTTGTCGAAATAAAAACCAAGTTTTTTATGCCGATCCATATTAGTCCCACGGTGATTTATTTTTCTTTATTTCATGGAATTACTGTGGCTGCGCCGTGAAACTATTATTTTTATTTCGATTTTGATATCTAATAAAAAATTTATGTAAATGTAAAAAAAAAACTTATTTTGGGGTGAGTGGCTGCAATATCGGATATAGCGGATAAAGGAACATCCGGCAATCATCCTGTTTGTCCATTATCCGAAACTTAATTTATCAGCTGCATACGGATCGAAGCATTGTTACAGATTCCTTGATTTATCAAGAGTAAGTTAGAATACACAGACCAGCCAAATATTCTTGCTTATTATTTATTATGCAGAGTATTATAAGATTTTCCGGTTTGTAATACTCCATTACAAGAACGTGGGCAGATTAACAATTTTAAGTTATAAGTAATATAATTTTCTTGTTAATTTGAGGATATTTTTTGTCCTCATAATTTTGAGGACATTTTTATCCACAAAATCTTGTCATTTTTGTTTTAATCTGATAACGGGCAATTTTATCCAAAAAAGTCTCAATTATTCTATATCAGATGCTTCGAAAATTCCAATTCGAAGTGAAGATCATATTTAGAATGTTCTATTCCAAGTTCTTATTTTTTATAAAGAAACTTTTAAGCCTTCGTTTGCATCATTAAGATTATCAGAAGTTTACGAAAAGAATATCTTAGTAGTCGAGTAGATAATCATTTAGAAGTTCTCAGTTAAATTCTAATAATGTCCAATTCTAATAATTATACGTTAGTCACTGTACTCATTACAATAGAAAACACATAAATTAAAGATGTAATATATACCAATAAGAATAAGACCCATAATCCAACGACATATTTTCCATAGTGTTACATCTTCATTATCAATAAGTTTCCTTCTATTATTAGTATTCCTTCTTATTTCCATTCTGTTTTCAATTATTTGAAGTAAATGAAACAAATATTTACGTTAATAAAATTCACAATATTGTTTTTCTAATCTTACAATTTAGTACTTTCATTATTTTTTTTTTCTCATATCGTCAATAAATTTCCTTAATTGAATTCCCAAAAATTGAAAGAATCCATTATGCGGAATGGTAATGTAAATTAAAAAACAGAATACCAAGAAAGGAAATTTCGTGAGCTCAACCTAGGGACATTTCCATAAAGAGTTTGCATAATTTAACACCAAGTTCTCGAGGATGAATTGAATCCACAATTTTGATTGAAATGTTTGGTTTGTAAAAGACGTTTGTTTGTTTTAAGACAAATAAAAATGCATTAGATTTACGTTGTACGGCTATTTTGGAGGTCGACCTTTCTTTTTACGGTAAATTAAAATTGTTAAGATCGGTCAATACTATATTGGAGAATCCTAAGTTCCGTTTGACAAACTATTCGCAAGTAAGATTTGTTAGGTGAAAGCTCAACTTTCTTCGTTTTTCCTTTACACTTTGTCTGTGCAGTAGCGTGCAGTTTTATAATATTTACGTTATCACAATTTTTTTACGTGAATCAAAATAACTGTTGATATACTGTACGTTGACGTTACACATTTATTGAGATTTTTATATGTGCAGCAGTGGTTAAATTTCATTTACATAAATAAAGATACTCTTTAAAGGTGTCTATAATAATAATTTAGTAATCAAACAAATTAGATTTACCGCTTTATATACTGGGATCAATCTCATTCGTGATTTATAATTTTTTTTGCTTATATTTTGTGACATGTTACTCATACTAATATTTACTGTTCTGAATAAAAGGCTATTTTCGTGTGCAAAATAAAAGAAATTATATAATAGATTATCTAAAAAATAATCTAGTAAATATTACCATTGTTAAATCGATCTTAACCATTATTGACACCTCAACACCTCGTGTTACTTTCTTATACCAAAAGTAACAAATAATAAAACATTTTAATTAGTCCCACTATTGATTGTTTGATAAATACATGATATAAATATTTTTTATTTTATTTTTTTTTTTTTACTATAGACGACTATCTGTTTCTGATAAAAGGAAATTCCGACGATAACATAAAGTAAGAAAAAACAGAAATTTATTTTTTCTATTTAAAATTTAAATATTAATAAAAAATAATTATTTTAGATATAAAACGTTAATTTTTGTAAATATATTTACATATTAATAAAAATATTTTTAAAATTGTAAAATTGTTAATTTTTTGCGACGTATTAAAAAAAAAATATTAATTTTTACAATAAAAATATTAATTCTTGCGAAACATTAATGTATTACGTACATAAAAAAATAATAACGTAAAATTAGAAAAAAATTTCGGGATCGCTTTGTAATACTTTTTATCACTTTAATTGGTAAAAATTGATCATTTCGTCAAATAAGTCGAGTGCAAAATTTAGCACAGCAAACAAAGGCTCAGAAATATACATAGAAAGGTACGCGCTTCAACATGGATCCCGAAAATGCATCGAGATTAGTGACACAATGCAATAAAGCCCGGCCGTTACTATTTAAAAAGGAAAATTTTTCCATATTTTGTCTCTCCATAGCTAAATAAAAAATTTATTTTTATTAAATTAAGAGAAATTAATTGAAATTAATTAGAAAAACATATTATTTGGAAAATGTAAAGGCGTACTTGTAAAATACGCTTCCGAATGTATTTCCGGATGAGAAATTTTTAGATAATTGAGAAATCTCCTCCATCTTTTTTCTTCAGAAACAAAGTTTTCGTCGGATTTGGATCACAAACAAAAATCATGCTCGCTATTACAACTCTTATAATGATCATGTGGATTTATTCACAAAGTTCAAATTTCTATACCCTGTAAAAAATCTGATCCGTGTTTTATCTTTCCATGTTTTTTCCGTGAATGTATCATTTTCATGGAATTTATATCCTTAAATCATGGAAATTTTCATCTCGCTAACACGGATATCCGTGAATGTATCATTTTCACGGAATTTTTACGGAAGACACGGAGAAATAATGGAAATATTCGGATAAAAATTTTTTAAAGGGATATAATTTACCATGGCTAATTATTTTATTTTAACATTTACCGTATAGCGCTGCCTAAAATACCCTGGGTATATATCAATTTCACCAACGAAAAATTGGCCAGAATTAGCCGAATTCTTACCAGAATTAAGATTTTTTAACCACATATCATACCCGGGTATATTATAGTGGGGGTACGCGGATAGGGGGGTCTCTTAGGCAGTGCTATACGGTAATTTTAATTACTCTTCGGTTAGAACTACTGTAGCGACACTGTTTCTATAGATAGTTTCTTTTTATCGAAGGGTGGGTTACTTAAGGGTCTCTTAAGGGGCGATTGACTTCGTTAGCATGTGAATATCGTGTATCT